CGCTCCAGCCATTGGGCGCGGAACCCAGACGTCCCTGGCGCCCAGCCCCCTCTCCACGCCTCCCGCGCGCTGCGCTCCGAGACCGCACCGGCCAGGAACTCGCCGCCCGCTGGCCGCGGCTGTCGCGCTTCGGGAGCGCAGCGAGGTCCCTGCGGCGCGCTGGCCCAGCCCTGGGGATGCAGGGTGGAGGGTGCACAGGACTCCCTCTACCCCGCTTCGGGGGCCGCTCTCTCTCTGACTCCCCAGCCCTGGTGGCTCCCTAGAGCGCCCTCTCGGTCTCAGGTTCGAAGGAGAGAGGGCGCTCCGCGGATTTGGGGACCCCCGGATCCGTGGTTAAAAGCCAGCGTGGCCCCATTTTCTCTAGCCCACCCTGGTTTTGTCGGGGCTTCGGGCCCTGGCCTGGCAGAGGAGGCCGGACGCGGGTCCGAAAGTCCCTCTCCAGCCGGAGGGTGTGGGTAGGAGCCAAAGTCGGAACACCAGCGACACTTTTTTTTTAAACAAAACTTTATTGGTAATAGTTTTCAAATATGTTTACAACAGCACACTGTTCGAGAGAAGTCTCGCCCTTCGGAGCACACAGGTTGAATGGCCCCGCGCCCACCCGGGGCCCCAGCCTGCCCAAAGGCTCTCCGGCTGGGGAGGAGTTGACGGGGACGAACACTGCGTGGGGTGAATGGGTGGCTCCCCACCTTGCTAGTTAGAGAAAGACCACAGATCAGACGTTGGGGGGCAAGAGAGGAGATGGACAGCTGACTGCGAAGCTGGGGGCCGGCCGGGGGGAGGGGCGCAGAAGCCGCCGGTAGATGACACAGACGGCCCCTCCCCATCAGCCCGGGCTGGAACCGAGCTGGGTTTGGAGGGGGAGGGCGCTCTGCCACTTCTAAGTCCTTTTGTGGGGTCGCCTTCCCAGCTGGGCTGAGAAAAGGACTGGTGTTAAAAGCAGAATAAAATGAAGGGGTGGGGGGGCTGATGCTGGGATGGGGGACCCTGGGCTCCCCCTGGTTTTGGGGGGCTGGCTCCTCTTTGGCAAGGAGCTGGGTAGCTGCTTGGTCTGGCTCCTGAAGCCCAAGGGTGAAGGAGGGGTGGGGCAGCAGGAAGGGGCTGGGCCCCTTGGCAAGGTGGCAGAGGACCCCAGGAAGGAGGCGAGGAGGGGTTAGCAGCTCAGGGTGGAGGTTCAAAGCCCATTTTCCTCCTCACAAACTCAGTCTGCTTTCCAGCCTGGGTAAAATGGATTTGAGGAGCTGGCGAGGGGGGAGGGAGGCACTGGTGAAACTTAAATAAGATCGGAAATTGTTTTTAAAAATTTGAGCAAGCAGCTCTTGGAGAAGGTCACTGATATCTGGCCTTCCTGTCGTCCTTCGCCCTTAGGGTCTGGGGGGGTGGGTGCGTCTGGACCCCTCCGTCCTCACCCTGTCCCTGATATGCCAGCAAGACCTGGTCTGGTGGAGACAAGAGCCTCATTTCCAAAAGGCAGAAGTAGGCTGAGGCGGGGGTTCCTTGGGGAGAGGGGCAGGAGGGCTGTGGGAATTGGGGGAGCAGTGGTGTTTCTATCCCCCCAAGGTCTGAGCTTCCTGCTACCCCCAACCCTCGAGGGTGGGGTGGGGGTGAAATCAGGTGCAAGGAACTCCGGGGCTCTCTGGCTGTTCAATCCAACCCCCCACCCCCCCAAAAAAGAAAACAAAGAAAAGAAGAGTAAACTGGGGGGGCACAGGCACACCCCTAAAATTCGGAGAACTCCTTGCCACACTTCTCATTGATGGAGACCCGGATCTCTTCTTCCTCATAGTCGTCAAAGTTACTTGTGTCCCCGGCGCCTTTGAACTTTGGTATGAAGGGCGCTTCCACCTGGAGGGGACGAAGAACCACCCAGACCTCAGCAGTGCCCTGTTACTACTACAGCAGCCAGTGTGGGCATGCCACATTTTGGGGACTGAACCCAGGGGTGTCCTCTCATTCAGCTACATCCTAGCCCCTTTCTTTTTAAATTCATGACAGGGTCTTGCCAAGTTGCCCAGGTGGGCCTGGAACTTGTCATCCTCCTGCCTCCTGAGTAGCTGGAACTATGCGTGCACCGCTGAGCCTGGTGGTATAGATTCCTCTTAGCCACCCAAGACTCTTATTATGGCTGGCTCACACAAGGGAAATGTCTCCTGAGGCACAGAGGATAACCCCAGGATCCAAAAATCCCATTTCCAGCCCCTTTGGCTCTAAGCTGCCTGCTTCTGGTTGGCCCTGTGTTCAAGGTCCACGTCCCTGTCTGTGTCAGCTGGCAGCCTTCCTGACTCAGCCTCCCTGGCCCTCAGCATGCGGGGCGGCCAGCCCACCTTCCTCTGGTAAATGGCGATCCAGTCAGTCGTGGCAAACCATTTGTGGTTCTTGATGTCATTAACACCGTTCTTGAGGTTCCCGAAGCGCTTAGTGAGGTCCACCTGCAGGAGGTTCCGCAGCAGGTCTTTCAGGTCAGAGCTGAAGTGGGACGGGAACCGCACCTGGTAGGACGTGGACAGAGGGGACAGAGCGGTAAGGGTGCTGTCCTCTCCATCCAGCAATCCTGCCAGGAAGTACTCCCCAAACTTTTTTTTTTTTGTACCGGGGATCGAACTCAGGACCTTGTGCTTTCAAAGAAGGCAGCGGAACCACTGAGCTAAATCCCCGGCCCATGAGGCCCCCCAAACTTGACGCTTGCCAAGAGCCCGTGGAAAAGGTTCAAGGTCCACTGCATCTCTGGGGTGCCCTGCCCATAGCTGGGGCTGCTGGAGGGGACCCCCTCTGAGATCCGCTGCTCTCAGAGGAGTGCTGTAGTGGTTCCCATTTCACAGAAGAGGAAACTGAGGCATGTAGCTACCTGAAGGCCACAGAGAGTGGAGGGACAAGGTGAATCCATTGGGTGGAACCCAGGTCCTCACCCATACTTAGCAAAGGCCCTTCTACTGGGCTGCAGCTCCAGCCTTTTTTATTTATTTTGAGACAGGGTTTTGGTAAATTCCCCAGGCTAGGCTTGAACTTACAATCCTTCTGCCTCAGCCTCCCAAGTTGGGATGACAGGTGCATGCTATCACACCTAGAAAACTGCTGCTTTAAGACAGCTTTGCTGGGGTGTAGGACTTTAGAAGCATGCCTACGTACAAGCAAAACTTTACTTCCCCCCTCCCTGCACAGCTGTAGTGTTTCTATTCTTTAAAGCCCAGTTCAATTCCTCTGCAATCATTCACTCCCTTGTATGCAAGTATCACTGGATTTACAGCCCTAAGAACTGACTTCTAGTCCCTCCTCTGCCTTCCACATGCTGTGTGACCTTGGCCTCAGCCCTTAACCTCTCTGGGTCTGTGCCTGCCTCTGACTCGAGGAGGCAGATATCCTAGGGATGTGGAGGGAGATAACACCTCAGAGCGTTTGTGGGAACTGTGGAATGTGACACAGAAGGAATTATGCTTGTCCTCCCCTTTGCCTCTTGGAGTCTTCTCCGGACTTGACTACATTCTGGGCCATTGTCTTAGAGATTTCTCTCCTGGCTGGTGGCAGATGCTGACTCTGTCTGGCATGGGACACCCCATGCTGCCGTTGATGACTTCTTCCATCTCCTTGAAAGGCAGGTAGCTGGCTCCCTGGTTCCAACATGGGTAAGGTAAGGCTCAGAGGGCAAATGAGCTTGCTCAGAGTTCAACACCAATAGGTGCAGTGCTGTGTCTGGAGCTTGGAGTCAGGCTAGCCAGATCACACAGCAAGGTCCTCCCTAGAACTGCAGTTTGAACCCAGGGCCTCTGCACCGAGCTCCATCTCCAGCCTTTTAAATTTTTTACTTAAAGAAAGGGCCTTGCTGGGCATGGTAGTGCATGCTTGTAATCCCAGTCCTCCAGAGGCTGAGGCAGGAGGATTGCTGAGGCCAGCCTGAGCTACATAATGAGTTCAAGACAGTGTGCACTAATAAGCAAGACTCTGGTTTTGTGTTTTGTTTTTTGTTTTGGTACCGGGGATCAAACTCGGGTCCTTGTGCTTGCGCAGCTGGTGGCGAAACCACTGAGCTAAATCCCTGGCCCTGAGACTCTGTTTTTTAAATTAAAAAAAAAAAAAGGGTCTTGGTAAGTCACTAAATTGCCTAGATTGCCCTTGAACTCATGATCCTCCTGCCTCCCAGATAACAGCCCTGTGTCACCTGCCTGGCTTCAGTAAGATATCCAGGCCAGGTGGAGAGACGGAGGGTCAGGCTTTCCCAGCAGGGGGGCAAGCTGAGGTGGGGTGGGGTGCCCACCACAGTGTCCACTTCCTCCGTGCAGCTGGGATGTTGGGCTTGACATAACCCCTTTCCAAGTCTGTTTCCTCACCTCTCCCACGAGGGGGCGCCATCCCTCTAAGTATAATAGGGGGTGTGTGTGTGAACCCAGGGCCCAGTGGAGGGCAACAGCTTAAGCACTTCATAGGCTGGAGCTCTCATGGCTCCACCGCCCCTTACCCAACCCCTCAGAATTAGTGACACTTAGCTCAGCTTATCCCAGCACACTTGGAGTCTGAAGCAGGAGGGCCACAAGTTCAAACCCAGCCTGGGCACCTTAGCAACTTAGCAAGACCCTGTGTCAAAAATTTTTTTTTTTTTGTACTGGGGATCGAACTTGGGACCTAGTGCTTGTGAGGCAGGCGGTGGAACCAGAGCTAAATCCTCGGCTTCCCTGTGTCAAAATTTAAAAGAAAGGGCTGAGGATGTAGCTCAGTGGAAAGGTCTGGGTTCAATCCCCAGGGTCACCAAAAAGAAAAAAGAATTAGTGGCACTTCTGTGTTTGGGATGGGACACAGGGGTGTCCTTAGAGGGGCCAGGGTGGCACCTGGGCACCAAGCAAGTTCGCTTTTCTGCACTGAAACCCGTGAGACCTCACACAGAGAGCCACAGTGAGTGGGAGCAGCCCCCAGGCTGCGGCAGGACTTCCTGTGGCCCTCACGGGGGAGGCTCTAGACTGGAGACCCAGGAGAGCATCCATCCCAGAGTGGAGCAGTGGCGAGGCCCCTCCGGCGTGTCCTGGCTGATGGGCCTCACCTTCCCAGAGACGATCTTCTCGTAGATCTGGATGGGCTGGTCGGCGAAGAAGGGTGGGTAGCCGGCAGCCATCTCGTAGATGAGAACCCCGAGTGCCCACCAGTCCACAGCCTTGTTGTAGCCCTGCAGCGAGACGGTGGGGTGTGGGTGAGGGCACAGTGGGGAGCAGGGGGCAGGGGGAGGATGGGCCAGCAGGGCGTACTTTGCTCAGGATGATCTCAGGGGCCAGGTACTCAGGGGTCCCGCACAAGGTCCAGGTGCGGCCTTTCACGCGCTTGGCAAAACCGAAGTCTGTCACCTGAGGACGTCAGAATGGGCAGTTGGGAGAGAGGCAGGGCCGGGCTGCAGCCGCCCTTGGCACCCCTCGCCCAGCCCTCGCCTGTGGGCACCTGAATGTAGCCCTGGTGGTCGATGAGGAGGTTTTCGGGCTTCAGGTCCCGGTAGATGAGGTCCAGGGAGTGCAGGTACTCAAACGTCAGGACAATCTGTGCTGCGTAGAAGCGGGCATGGGGCTCACTGGTGGGACAAGAGGAGAGGGGACACGGGTGTGAGTGTGCTGGGCACAGCCCCATGCAGTCCAGGAAGTGGGCCTGCAGAGCCTTCCCCAGTCTGGAAGACACTCCTAGCCCAGCTATCCAAAATGCAGATGTGAGGCTGGGCATGGGCATGCGGGTCTGTGGTCCCAGGTATTACTGGGGAGGCCAAGGTGGCTTTTGGGACCAGCCTGGGAATGTAGCAAGATTCCGCTCAATTGAAAAAAGAGAAAGTTAGCTGGATGTGGTGGCACAGGCCTGTAATCCCAGATCATTAGGAGGCTGAGGCAGGAAGATCACAAGTTTGAGACCAGCCTGGGCAACTGAGTGAGTCTGTCTCAAAATAAAAAGGGCTGGTGATGTGGCTCAGTGGTAGAATGCTCCTGGATTTGTTCAATGTGTAGTATCAAAAAAAAAGAAAGAAAAAAAGCAATCGGAGAGTAGACTCACAATGGAAGCACAAGTGGAATGGGTTTATAAAATGGAACAGGAAGGGCCAGAGATTTAGCTCAGTGGTTCTGGCGCCTGCCTCGCAAGCGCAAGGTCCTGAGTTCGATCCCCGGTACCAAAAAAAAAAAAAAAAAATGGAACAGGACTCAACACCCACTCCTACCAGGATGCACCATGAGTGCACAGCACAGCATGGCTGCGTCCATGCCTGCTGGGTTAAACATGGGGAGACAGACAAGGGGTCTCCACTAGATGAGTTCCACATGGCCAGAGTCTAAAACCAGCCAGGACAAAATAGTGGAGTCTGGAGCCAGAGAGGACTGGTGCCCCTGGCTGTTCTATTCAGAACAGGCATCCAGCTCGGCGTGGTGGCGCATGCCTGTCATCCCAGCATTTGGGAGGCTGAGGCAGGAGTATCACCATGAGTTTGAGGTCAGCCTGGGCTACACAGTGAAAACAAGCCCAGCCTGGACTACATGGTGAGACAGGTAGGGGCATGCAGGGAATCTGCTGGTGGGGTGAGAGTGTTTGATAGTGTTTTCGGTGGAGGTGACTTGTGGGATGGAGCATGAAAAGTCTGCTTTTTATTGTATGTAAATTATATTTGTATTTATTTACCTGTAAAGTAACAGTATAAATCTTAAAACTGCATAAAATCAGCAGCTTTTTTTTTTTACAGTACTAGGAATTGAACCCCCCCCCACACTCCCTTTTTAAAATTTTGAGACAGGGTCTTGCTAAGTTGCTAAGTTACCAAGCTGGATTTGAACTTGTGATCCTCCTGCTTCAGCCTCCCAGAATGCTGGAATTACAGGTGTCCACCGCCATGTCTAGTTAAAATTGTTTTCTTAAGCCAAGTGTGATGGTGTAAGCCTGTAATCCCAGCGCTTGGGAGGCTGAGTCAGGAGGATCACCATGAATTCACGGCTAGCCTGGACTACAAGTGAGTTCAAGGCCAGCCTGGACTACACAGCAAAATCCTGTCTCACAAAGCAAAACAAAACAAAACAAATAAAGTAGGTTTTCTTTTTTCTTTTTTGTTTTTGGTGGGATATCGTGGCACCTGCCTGTAGTCCCGACTACTTAGGAGGCTGGGGCAAGAGAATTACTTGAGGTCAGGAGTTTAAGACCAGCCTGGGCAACACAGCAAGAGCCCGACTCAAAAAAATAAAACTAAAGTTTTTTGGGGTTTTTGGTACTGGGGATTGAACCCCAGTCCTTGTGCTTGCGGGGCAGGCAGCAGCACCACTGAGCTAAATCCCCGGTCCAAAACTGAAGTATTTTTGTGGTGTTGCTGGGGATCGTACTCAGAGCTTGAGTGTCCTTTAGTCCGGCCACTTCAGTGCTGACACCTAAGCTGCATGATTGGTCTATGTGTTTTGTTGTGGGGTTGAAACAGCAGAGATTCCTCAGCATGAGGAAATAAATCCTGAAGCTCTTGGAGCTTCCCTTCCATGTCCCCAGATGCTTTGGTGAAGATGTGGCTCACCTGAACCTGCCGATCCGCCGTAGGTGCGAGAACATCTCCCCGCCGGGCACATACTCCATGACCATGTACAAGTTTGAGTTGTCCTGTGGGAGGCAGGGAGATCAGGACCCCATCACAAAGCCCTTGGTGGCCTTGCTGGACAGGGCTGAGCCAGTCAATGACAGAGAGCGCCCCTTGTGGGAAGCTGTGACAGGCATGCCCTTCATTCTGCCCTTGAGGAAGAAGGGGCAGGAAGTGTCCTGTCCTCCAGGGAGTGGAAGTGAGGTTCTCCTGCCTTTGAGGGCAGAAGTGGGGCCAGCTCTGAGGTGTGCTGGGCACCTGGCCAGTGCCCCAGCTGGAGAGTAGAGTGCAGATTCTGCAGTAGTTTGCATCTGAGAGCTTGAGGAAGGCTTTTGGGGCTACAGTTTTGTCATCTGTAAAATGGGTCCAGGAGAGGGTACAGAATTTGGGGGTCCCAAAAGAAAATGAGCTGGGCATGGTGGTGTGCAACCATGGTCCCAGCTACTGGGGAGATGGGAGGCAGAGGATCGCCTGAGCCCAGCAGTTGGAAAGCAGTCTGGGGAACACGGTGAGACCCCATCTCTTAGGGGAAAAAAGGGGAGGCCTTTGATCAAAACAAAAAGCAAAACAAATATCAAGACAGCAGCAGCAGAGCATTAACCCTGTGTGGCCCCTCTGAGCACAGCCTGTCTTTACTCCACAGGGGGCAGGCTCTGGATGGCACACTGTGAACCACCAGGCCAAGCTGCCCCGGGGACCTCGATGAGTCCCTTAATACAGATGAGCAAAATGCGCCCCAGGAGAGGAGCCCGTCCTGAGGGGTCACTCACAGGGAGATAGGTCTGGGACTGCCCTCTGGGCTGTGTCTGTCAGGAAGCATTCCTTGGGGACACCCCACCGGGTGACCTGCCCAGGTGGCCACACCAGAACCTGGGGCTCTGGCCTGACCTGGGCACCCTCCTCTGGGGTCTCCTCCTTCCCTGGGACCCACCCCAGAGACCCTGAGCCCTGGCCACTGGGGCCCACCTTGAAGGAGTACTCAAGTCTGACCAGGAATGGAAAGTTGACCGCCTGTAGGATGCGCTTCTCATTGAGGGTGTGCTCGATCTGTTTCAGCTTCACTACCTGTGGGGCACAGAGCATGGCCATGAGAGGGGCTGGGAACTGGGGGTGCCAGGGCCAGATGCTGAGGACATGGAGAGGAGGGAACTGTGGTTGAAGAGTACAGAGAGGCTGCAGCTGTGGTGGGAAAAGCATGGCTAAGGCACCTGCGCAGAGTGGAAGGGGCAATGTGAGAGGGCTCCCTGGAGGAAGAGCTTGGGGAGATAGTCCTTTTGTTTGTGGGGACCATCTCTTTATACCACCCTGAGCTCAGTATGGTCCCTCTTCAGCCTTCAGCTGTCCCCTGTAGTTATTCAGAGGTAGCTGGCTATATTGGCCCACACCTGTGATCTCATCACTCTGGGAGGCTGAGGCAGGAGGATGAAAAATTTGAGCTGGGTGTTTAATCACGACAGAGCCTATGAGGACACACCAGGAACATGGCAGTTTGGAAGGCCAGACAGAGCAGGGCAGTGACTTGGCCAAGGTCACACAGCTGGTTAATGCTGGGCCGTGTGTCAGCTGCGAACAGCTGGTCCAGCACCTGTTCCTGTTCATAGCACAGCTATCCCCAGGGCCTACGCCTAGGCTGTTGGGGCTGTTGCTACTAGAGCTAAGGGCTGCTGAGCCCTTGAAAGGTGGCCAGCTGACTGGGAAATCGAATTTAAAATTTTAAGTCTCTGCTATGAAAATTTAAACACTGACACTCAATGTATGCACTGGATAATTTAAAAAAATTTTTTTGAGACAGGGTCTCACAGTGTAGTTCAGGCTGGCCTCAAACTTGTGGTAATCCTCCCGGCTGAGCTTCTGGGTTGCTGGGATTACAGGGGTGTGGCACCACAATCGGTGCTCTTTTATTTTTTTTTAATGATGCTGGAGACAGAACCCAGGGCCTTGCACCCAGGCTGCTAGGCAACTGCTCTACCACTGGCCTACACCCAGCCCTCTGAATCACTTTATTTTTGTAGTCCTGGGGATTGAACCTAGGGCCTTTCCATTGAGCTACATCCCCAGCCCCTTTTTTATTTTTCATTTTGAAATAGGGTCTCACTAACTTGCTGAATTGCCCAGGTTAAGCTGGGCCTTGGGATCCTCCTGCCTCGGGTACTAGGGTGCTGGAATTACAGGTGTGCACCAGTAATGCTTGGCTACCTCTGAATAATGTTTACGTAAGTTCAAATAAACTGTGGCACATAAATCTATTTTTTTCAACTTTTCTACTTCTTGTCTCTCCAGGGAATAATTGACCATCTGAATGGAGACCTCTTTGGTTTCTTTTTTTTTTGGTACCGGGGATCAAATTTGGGTCCTTGTGCTTCGGGGCAGGTGGTGGAACCACTGAGATAAATCCCTGGCCCCCTCTTTGGTGCTTTTGATTAGTTTTGTTTTGAGACAGGGTCTTACTGTGTAGTCTAGGCTAGTCTTAAATTTGAAGGGATCCCCCTGCTTCAGCTTCCCAAGTGCTAGGATTGCAGGCATGTGCCACCATGCCCTGTGCTATTTTGAAATATACATTATGCCTGGGATGACAGGCATGCACCAGCCACCATTGAACTTGGCACCTTGTACTTTCGAGGCTGGCAGTGGAACCACTGAGCTAAATCCCCAGCCCTGTATTTATATTTTTGAGACAGGTTCTTACTCTGTAGCTCATGCTAGCCTTGAACTCACTAGGAAGCTCAAACTGGCCTTGAATTTGTGGTGATCCTCCTGCCTCAGCCTCCCAAGTGCTGGGATTACGGCCATGCACCATGACACCCAGCCCAGTAATACAGGGAAAATATATAAAATCTCCCTCCTTCTCTGTCTTTGTCTCTGTCTGTCTCTATGTCTCTGTCTCTGTCTCTCCTTTCTGGCACTGGGGATAGAAACAAGGACCTTGTACATACTAGGCACTCTATCACTGAACTACACCCTTAGCTCCCCAACCCCCCTCTTTTTGTACCGGGGCTCAAACTCGGGTCCTTGCGCTTGCACAGCAGGCGGCAAAACCACTGAGCTAAATCCCCGGCCCTACCCTTAGCCCTTTTTAAAAAATTATTTTATTTTGAGTCAGGCATGGTGCTGCACGCCTGTAATCCCAATGCTCAGGAGGCTGAAGCAGGAGGATCAAAATGGGTTTGAGGCCAGCCTGGGCTACATAGGGTGTTCAAGGCCAGCTTGAACTACAAAGTGAGATCCTGCCTCAAAAAACAAAACAAAATAAAACAAAACAAAAAATTTTTTTTTCTGGAGTACCAGCGATCGAACTCAGGACCTCGAGCATACGAGGCATGTGTGGTACAGCTGAGCTAAATCCCCGGCCCTTTCTTCTCTTTTTTTTGAGACAGAACCCTGCTAAATTGCCTAGGCTGGCCTCAAACTTGTAATCTCAACACTTGAGAAGCTGAGGCAGGAGGATCTCAAATTTGAGCCTACCCTGGGCAACTTAGGGAGACCCAGTCTCAAAATGGCCAGGGATAGAAACTCAGTGTGAAGGCCCAAGGATCAATCCCCAGTACTGGGGGAAAAAGAGAGAAAGAGAGAGACAGACAGACAGATAGACAGACAGAAGAAAAGAATATTCATATAAAGCACACTTCCTTCCTTCTGGCACACAGTGGCCCCTAACAAGCCTTGTGTCTGACCCGAGTCACGGTGGCCTCTGGGTAGGGCTCAGCCTTGGGAAAGCAGTGCAGGGCCCTTCTGGTCCTCAGGTTTGGCTCATTACAGGGGCTAGGGGAACACAGTTGCCTCTTGGTATTCATGGGGGCTTCATTCTAGGTACCCTTGTGCTCTGGGCATATATACATATAGTCCCTACTATGAAATGGCTTAGGGTATAATCCTAGCATTTGGGAGGCTGAGGCAGGAGGAGTTCAAGGCCAGCCTGGACCACATAGCGAGACCCTGTCTTGAAAAGCCAAAAGAAAGAAAGACAAGACAGACAGACAGAAAGAAGGCATAGTATTTACATAGAGTCTATGCACATCTTACAGGCTTCACTTTTTTGTGGTGCTGGGGATGGAATCCAGGGCCTGGAGCAAGCACTTGCCACTGAGCTGCTCCCCAGCCTATATAGGCTTTGAATCATATCCCTAACCATGACTTAGAACCCCTAAAACAATGATGTCTAACATCACTCCATTTATGTGGGCTCAATGTAGCACTTTGTATATACGGCAAGTACAGTTTTGCTTCTTGGAATTTTCTAGAATATTATTTTAAATTTTATTTATTTATTCATGAGACAGGGTCTCGCTATGTAGTTCAGGCTGGCCTTGAACTTGCTATGTATCTCAGACTCCTACTCAAGGGGACCCTCCTGCCTAAGCCTTCTGAGTGTTGGGATTATAGGTGTGGGCCATCATGGTAAAGTGGAACTTTCTAGAATTTTTAGAAGAATATTTTCCAGCTGAGCATGATGGTACACGCCTGTAATCCCACCACTCTGGGAACCTGAGGCAGGAGGATCACAAGTTTGAGCCCAGCCTGGGCAACTTAGTAATTTAGTAAAACCCTATCTCTTGGGCCAGGGATTTAGCTCAGTGGTTTCCCCGCCTGCTGCACAAGCGCAAGGACCCGAGTTCAATCCCCAGTACCAAAAAAAAGAAAACCCTATCTCAAAATTAAAAAAATTAAAAAGGGCTGAGGATGTAGCTCAGTGTGAAGGCCTTGGGTTCAATCTCCAGCAACATGCATGCGCACACATGCACACACAGAGGAAGTTGGATTTGTGCTTGACTGGCGCTTGCACAGAGGCTCCAAAGCAGGTGGGCAGACTGGAGAGCTGCTTACCTTCTGTTTGTCCAGAATCTTCATGGCATAGTGGCTTCCAGTGTCCTTGTGCTTTACCAACATCACGCGCCCGAAGGAGCCGGTGCCAAGGGTCTTGATGCGGTCAAACTGATCCAAACTGGCTGTGTTCTGTGGGCCAAAGGGTGGGGGTATCAGAGCACCTCCTCCTCAACGGGCATCCCCTGGGCAAAGGCCTAGGTGCTGGCAGCAGGAGGACACGGTGGTGGTGGGGCATTCCTGCAGGGGGTGGTAGGCCCAGTCCAGCCCTGGCCTGGGGAGAGGACCACAGTAGGGTGGGGGAGAGCCCAGCAGCTGCCATCAGGTGTGATTGTGGGTATCTGGAAAATGAGCGGCGCCAGGTGTGGACACCCCACAGGTCCTGCCATTTCAACAGTGCCTCAGGGAGCCACCCAGCTTGGGGAGTTGACCCATCCCTCTGAGGGCCTGACCCCTTGGCAGGCTTACCTGAGCAGGACTTTCCCATTTTTTAAGAAAATCTTCTTTGGCTTTGGCTAAGAACTCTTTTACTGAAAAGAAGAGAGAGGAGGGTTAGATGGAGACGCCCCTCATGTTACTGGAGCAGACTCAGGTTACTTCTGGGGAGATACTCGTTTGTGGAAAGTGAGATGCAACTTTGCCCAGGGCTTATGGGTGCTCTGGATGAGCCTGCAGGTCTCTGGTGGTGGTCGTAGGGCCTCTGACTGAGTTGCAGTCAGGACACGCCCCCCCCCACCACAGAGAGGTGGGATCGAGCTTCCATCCATCGAAAGTGGGGTACCAGGAAACTAGGGCTCACACCCAGAGGCACAGGGCCAGGTGCCCCAGCCAGCCCATCCCCACTTGCCCCAGCTGCAAGTGACATTCCTCGGCCAGGGCCGACGCCAGCTGGAGTATTTATAGCTTAGGATCTGGCTGCTCCTCAGGCCCCTTCTCTGGGGAGGCCAAGCAGGGATGGAGGCCTGTGGGGCTCGGGTGGCAGGCGTCCTTGGGGGGCTCAGCTGCCACCTTGGTCCCCAGCCGGGCCTGGCCTGTCTTTGACAATTACAAGGCCCTGGTCCAGAGCTGTTTCAGGGGAAGCTTCACCCAGTTCCTACTGCCATGTATGTCATGGCACCTGAGGTCAGCATCACATCCGGTGGACCTGGGGTTGGCTGCTTTGTCTACACTCTCTCAACACCATTTAACAGCCTGGGGAACAGGCTTGAAAACAGTCACTGTCGCTCACAATGACAAGAGGTGGCCCAGCACAGTGGCTGAGGGCCAGGGCTAGGGATGACACTGAGTCCAGATCCTCCTATTCTGGTCCCTGATGAGCTATGCAACTTCAGACAACTGATTCCACCTCTAGGCCTCAGTTTTCCACATCTGTGAACTGGGGATAAGAGCAATGAGCTCTGCGGTGCTCATGAGGGGTGAAGGAGTTCATTGCGGCAAAGGGAGTTCACTGGGACAGCATGGCGGAGGCTTCATGCCATATAAATGTCACATATTAACTTTATTTTTATGGTGCTGGGGAATGAACCCAGGGCCTTTGCACTGAGCTATATCCCCAAACTTTTAAAAAAATTTTGAGACAGGTCTCATCAAGTCAACCAGGCTGGGCTCAAACATGCAATCCTCCTGTCTCACCCCAACTCCCCTCCAGTGCTGGGATTACACATATGCACTACTACAGTGGCTACTACCTAATCTTTAAAAAGACACACACACAAAAAAACCTTAAAAAAATAAAATTAGCAGGGCATGGTGGATCACAAGTTTGAGCCCAGCTTGGGCAATTTAAAAACACCTTATCTCAAAATAAAAAGAAAAAAATAGTGGCTGGAGATGTAGCTCAGGGAGAAGGCTCTGGGTTAAACCTCAGTACCAAAAAACAAACAAACAGATGAGGGGAAAGCTCACTTTTTTTTTTAAATGTTGAGACAGGTTCTCACTAGATTGCCCAGGCTGTCCCTGGACTCTGGATCCTCCTTGCCTCAGCCTTCTGAGCAGATGGGATTACAGGTGTGTTCTACTATGCCTGTCTTCTGGATTATTTATTTTTATTTTTATTTTTACTTTTTCTGTGGAACCGGGGATTGAACTCAGGACCTTGCGCTTGCTAGGCAGGAGCTGGTGCCACTGAGCTAAACCTCTGCCCTGGATTATTTATTTATAGAAATGGGGGTCTCGTAGTGTGGCCTAGGCTAGCCTTCAAACTCCTAGGCTCAAGTGATCCTTCTGTCTCAGTCTTCCAAGTAGCTGAGATTACAGGCATGCCACCACATCCAGCTGAGTTCTTGTATTTTTTTTCTCTCTCTTTTTTTTTTGTGATGTTGCAGCTGGAACCCAGACCCGCATGCATGCTAGACAAACACTGCCTGAGCTCTACCACCAGGCGAGTGTTCCAATCTTAACTCTGCAACCTGATGGATTCTGAGACTTAGGGTTCATTCTTATAACCAATGCTCAAGGCCAGGCCTGCTCTGCATGTGCCACCTCTGTGCTGGGTGTTTTCCTCATGCAGTGCTGACCCTGCTCCTCAGAGTGGCTCTTCGCCCAATTGTACAGATAAGTCAGGCCCAGGGGCACCTGCCTGGCCCCACTGGCCCCCTCGCTCCATTAGCAGCCCAGCACTCAGAGTGCAGCAGTGGCCACCCATGGCTGCCCAGGGACAGAGCTGTACTCAACCCTCCCAGGTTCCAGGGGCTGGTACCACCCCAGGAGCCCTTGACACTTGGACTCTGACCTTGCCTGTCACCTGCCTGTGAGGAGCCCCAAACCGAACAGCCTTGTGCTCCTCCTCCGGGGCCCCACAGTGCTTGGAGGAGAGGGGTTAGAGGGTGGTGGGTAGAGGAGAGACTGTGGCCAGGGCCAGGAAGGCCTGCCAGGAGATGCGGGGCTGGTGGGTGAGTGGCCAGGAGCCCTCGGTTGGCCCAGAGACATCTCTGAGCAGGGGCTGCCACATACATCCATTGCTTTCTCTAGGAGAATCTTAGGGACATGCGACACTTTCATCAGAAACCTTCCGACAACCATGCCAAGTTCTGCCTTGGGCTGTGGGGACAGAAAGCTCCTGAGACTCTACCTTCAGCCACACTAGAAAGAAGACAGAAGCCTGGCTTGGGAGGAACCCATAGGAAGGTGGTCCCTGTGCTTCCCTGACTCAATGGGTCTGGCTGTAACCTCTTGTCCAGCTCAGTCCTTCCTTGGGTTCCCCCAAAGGGGGCAAGGGTATCTCCCCTCTGGGCTGCTATAGTTTGGGTGTGGGGGGTGCAGTGCCCAGAGAAGCAGGCAGACAGAGGGTGTCCACAGCCAGGAGCCCACACTCACCTCCTTGTCCTGCCTCTCCCAGGGTGGGATAGTGCAATCTGGGGCCCTTTTGCTCCTAGCCAAGGAGGCTCAGGGTGCTGACTGTGGCTTAGATCCCCAGAAGGTATGGCACAGGTAACCCAGGAAACGGAGAGCCAGGTGGGCCCAGAGGAAGAGCTGCAGCCACAGCTGGAAAAGGATCTCTGAGTCCCCACCCTGGTTGCTGGCTGACCCCGGATCCATCCTCTAGGTCATGCTGGGCTCTCCCTGGAATCTTTCCTTTGCTGGGGAACCAGGAAAAAGCAGTGAACCTCCTCCTAGCCAGGTTCCTTGGAAAGGCCTCTGGGGACCCAGGAGGAGGAGCTGGTTACCAGGGAAGCATTTAAAGATACCTGCTGCAGGTGGCCAAGGTCTGCAGAAGCTCCCCTGGGCAGGAAGAGGTGGGAAGATTTTCCCAAGGGCGTCCCTCTGGCCAGCCCACCTTCCCCAGGGCAGGGCACTAAAGGTAACCTCCCCTTCTGGCAACTTCCACTGCTCTGGGGATACCAGGCCCTGCCTTCCTCCATGGGTGATGGACTGTCCAGAGGACAGCAATCAACATGCCCAGGGGAGTGCCCACTGGCAGAGGGGAAGGAGTTAAGGCCTAGCTCCTGTGACAGCCAGAGATTCCCTGGGGGCTAAGGAAGCACCAGAGCTCATTAATTAGCTGGAAGAACAGCTGGAGAGAAAGGCTAGGGGCTGGTAACAAGAGGCACTGTATCTCCTCCCCTGAGTTCCCTTTTAACCTGGAGTCCTCAAGCCTTGCTACCCTGAGAGAGAAATGGGCACATCTGTTCTTTGTCTTGCTCCTGTGTGGGGGTGGAGAGGGGACCGGCGTCCTGGGATGTCCTTGGCCTCTGTCAAACCTTGCCCTGTGCTTGGCTCTGCTCTCAACCATGAAAGTCCAAACCGGAAACGAACAGCTAAACCCTGGGAGGGGGAGGGGAAGCAGCCTTGACTATCTTTCTCCTGCTTTCCAGATCCCCAAAGAAGCAGAGTCACTGGCAGCCTCCTCCTGAGTGTGCCCGACACCCACGGTCCCTCCTGGCAACAGGAGGTGACCAAGGAGGGTAACCTCGTGAGGAGTTAGCCTGTGGAACCTGCTGCCCAGCTCACAACTTTGTATGTATGTGTGTGGGTGCCACCTCCACTCTGGTCCAGATTCAATATGGGCTCAGAGAAAACCTGAGACAATCCTTGAAAGTCCAGGACTAATTTGGGTGTAGTGGCACAGGCCTATAACCCCAGCACTCTGGGAGGCTGAGCAGGATCCCAAGTTTGAGCCCAGCCTGTGTAACTTAGTGATATTCTGTACCACAATTTTAAAAATAGACTAAAAAGGACTGGGAAGTAGCTCAAAGAGAAGGCTGTGAGTTCAATCCCTAGTACCAAAGACCAAACAAAAACCCAGGACCAGCAGGAGGCAGAAATTTAGAAACCACGGGAGACAGCCTTAACAGCAGAATGTCAGGTTGAGCACAGGCATGGTGGAGACTCCCTGGGAAGGAACCCACAGCACGACCCTCCTCCCCCAGATAATCTCTGACCTTCTGACCTCCCAAACCTGGGGATTGTGGGGCAGAAATGCCCAGCCTGGGCTGGAAGCCCTAATCTGGGAGGGCTGATTCCTTCAGTCCAGTCCAGATCCCCTGATCTGGGTTGCACAGCCCCCCAAAATCGCCCTCCCATCTGAGAGGTACCCGATACAGGACTGGACCAACTCCCATTCTCAGCTGCTCCCCATTCCGGACAGGATGATACCCCAGTCTATGTTGGACACTAACAATTAGCTGGCCCATTCTCCAGTCTGAACTGGACCACCCTGCCTCCCTTGTCTGAGGTAGAACTCCACGCTGGGTGGACTGCCCCCCTCCCTGTCTAAAGAGAGCATTTATGTGCTCTTCCCCAGGTCCTACAATCCAGGGGTTACTAGGGGCCAGTCAGGGGTCCATGGACCATTCCTGGACCCCAAACGCTGTTGCAACTCTTTACTGACTTGAGGGATAATGTGTGCTTGGGAAGTTGCTATAGCAACAGGGCTCAGCCTCACCAACGGTGTAGCTGGAAGCCATCCCTCGGTCTTCTTCTTAGTGAACCTGACTACGGTGGCTGGGAAGGCTCAAGAGTCCTCAGTATCAAACTGGAGGGCCATCCCCAGACCCCTGCCTGTAGGGGGAGCCAGGGAGTTATGGGGTGGGAACAGGAAAAGATACACGACTGGACACGGTGGGTGCAGGTAAAGGGCAGGTAGGGCCCTTTAAGGTTCTGTTGGCTCAACTGTGAGAAGGGCAAAGATACCCTAGCAGGACCCTCCTGAGCACCCATATAATGGCCAATGCACGGAAGCTTGATCCTCTTGGGCATCCGTAGGATATGAGCTGGTAAAATTTCTTCCTACTCGAAGATTTGCTGGGGGGAGGGTCTCTTTTCTTTAGTGCCCAGATCTACTTCTCTGGGGCCTGGGGAGACTTTTAATGAGGGGCTCCCTCTTACAAACTCTGCCTCTTCCCCTGTAGGCCAACTCCCAGAGTGTCTTTAGCGAGTGCTAGCCAAGACCTGAGCCCCATTTGGCTGTCTTATCTCGGGAATCTCCTGGGGCTGCTGCCCTCTCTCAATTTCCGCAGCGCGGCCAGTTTGGGGGTTGCTCTTTTTTTCTCTGCTCTCTCCACTTCTCACTCTGGCTCCTGCCTATGGCGTCAGTCATCATCTTTGGGGGCAGAATTCCCCATCCCACTCCATCCCGCGCTGATTCTAGACCCACGCTCTTTTGGGAGGAGGCAGACCCTGCCCTGCCTTTACATAAGAGTTGGCAGTTTTGGGGGGACAGAGGATATTTGCCTGGTGCTATTCACGGCGTGGGCATTTTCCGGACCCTAGTTAGGCTAGTAAATGGCAGATGAAATGGAGGTGCCCCCTGCAGGCTGGCGTGGGTACAGGAGAGCAGATTTTGTATGATTCCATCCTAGAATCAGATTCCAAGCAAAGAGGGGTACCCTTCCTCATCTTGTTTCCTTTGAGAGGGAGGTATATCTTCGAGTGTTTTCTAAAGTGTGACATGACCCGCTGGCAGAATGTAGAATTATTTAGGCAAGTTTCATTTATCTAGTTACAGTGTATTTTGTATTTTATTTTAACTTTTTTTTGTACCAGGGACCGAACTCGGGTCCTTGGGCTTGCGCAGCAGGTGGCAAAACCACTGAGCTAAATCCCCAGCCCTAATTTTGTTTTTGAGACAGGGTCTGGGTATGTAGTCCAGGCTGGCCTCCAATTTGCAGTGATCCTCCTGCCTCAGTCTCCCAAGTGCTGGAATTACAGGCCTGCGCCACCACACCACCACACTGGGCTATCTAGTTACGGTGTATTTTAATGTGTGTATCAGAGAATGCAACTGGCATAGCAATCTCACGATTGAGAAATTTTTTGCAGTACTAAGGATTGAACCCAAGATCTTCACACTGAGCTACATCTACAGCCCTTTTATATTATCGGTTAGCTTATCTCTGAACAGAAGTGAGTAAAAAAAATTTTTTTTCAGTACTGAGGAGTGAACCCATGGAGCCCTTTTTAATTTTTTTTTTTTTTTTTGCAATTTAAGACAGGGTTTTGCTCAGTCATTAAATTGCCCAGCCTGGACTCAAACTTTCAGTCCTGTCTCAGTATCCCAGAATGCTGGAATTACAGGAACACATCGCCAAGCGTAGCTTGGGTTTTCATTTTTGTTTTGAGACAAGGGTCTTCCAGTATAGCCCAGGCTAGTCTGGAGCTCGCTGTCCTCCTGCCTCAGCCTCCCAAGTGCTGAGATTACAGGTATGTGTCACCACATTCAGCTAATTTTTATTATTTTATCTAGTTTTGAGATGAGATCTCACTGTGTTGCCCAGGCTGGTCTTGAACTAGGCTGAAATGATTTTCTCACTTTAGTTTCCCTGGTAGACGGGACTAATAGTGCCTGCCACTGTACTTGGGTTTTATCATTTTATTTTTTGTTATTATTGTTTTGTTTTTATTGAGACAGGGTCTCACTATGTAGTCCTGGCTGGCCTTGAACTCACTATGTATCCTAGGATGGTCTCAAACTCATGGTGATCCTCCTGCCTCAGCTTCCCAAGTGCTGGGATTACAGGCGTGCACCACCATGCCTGGCAGTTATATAATTTTAAATTAAGAAAGTATATGTGAGTGGGGTAAATATCTGAGAAGCAGCTTAAGAATATCTGAATAGGAGATTTTGGGGTCCAAGAAGTTTGCTGGGAAACAGATCTGGAAGTGAATCCTGCCTCTGTGACATCATCTATGTCACACTGAGCTTATTTGGAAAATTTGGATAACAGCCCATTATGAAAAATTACTGGAGCAGTTATGTCGACAGAGACCATTTAGCTTGGCACATCCTAGAAGCCCAATAAATAGGAGCTGTATTTCATCGTGATCATCCGCTCCTGAGTGTTTGGCCTGTGTGCTCAGAGAATTAGCAGTTCCTTCCTGAGCCTCTGAACTTTTTCTTGGGATCTTTTTCTCTATGTGGCGTTCCACCCTCCACTGCATGTGTTTGATATGCCTTGAAGGATTTCCAGAACTATGTCACCTCCCCAACTTTCAACCCAGCCACCGAAACATACAGCTGCTGGCCTCCACCTCCACCTGAACCTCCGGCCAGCCTCACCTGCTTGGGGCCAGGCCCTTTCCTCTGCCCCATCCCCTGAAAGCTCAGGCCCAGACCTTTTTTGGACACTATCCACCTGCTCCTCTGTCATCAAGCACTCAGCTCCAGGCACTTGCCTCCACATCCCCCGCCCATTGGTGACAAGTCAGGCCCCTTCAAGGCTGCTCTGCCTCTCCGAGTTGTGCCGTTTGAATCTGGGCAGGAATAAAGTTCTGGGACTTTCATGGCTTTTTCTATCTCTTTGAGAGGGGGCATTCCAGGGACTCAGACACCTGGGTTTGAAACCAAGAGCTGAGAGAGGCACAGCTGGACGTGTCCTCCCTTTTCAGTTCTGAATAGTTCGAGTAACTGAAGAGGATCCTGCTGAGATCCAGCTTTAGGCCTGCAGTGACAACAAGTTGAGAGCTGGGGGAACTGGGGAGGGGGTTTAAGACCATTTCTGAAGTCGTTTGCAATACAGAAATTTCTCTCCCTGGCTAGAAAAAGCCAACATATCTGGGCGCTCAGGAGAGCCTCTAGCTGGGCTCTGGGTATGAACAGTATTCATTTATCCCTTGGTAAAGCACATCACTCACTAGCTGTCACCCCTTACTCTCTCCCAAGTCCTCTTTCTGATCATGGAGTTCAGGCCATGGGGTCTTGCTAACTCCAGCCACTTCATCCAGAGCGGAGAGCCTAGGAGAAGCTCTGGGGACTGGGTGAATGACGGAGCCTCAGTTGTGAAACATCCATTTATTGGGGGTGAGGGGCTCCAAGGAGCCTGGAGCTCACTGCAGGCCAGGAGACAGGAGGGGGGAATCTGTCACGCCCCCCCCCCCCCCAGGAAAGGAGACGCCATGAATCCCAGCAAGACCAGCTCGTATTTGGCTTTGCAAGCACTGAGGCAGTTCCCTAGGTTCATCAACAGTCTGCTACCCCAGCCGGAGACAGCCACTTGCTTGGAGGAGAGAAGACAAGCAGTGAGCCAGAATGACAGGATGGAAAGAGAGGGGCAGAGGGACCTAGAAAGACCCTGTCCCCCAAGCCAAATGACACATAAGGGAAAAACAACGCTGGAGGTGGCTCTAGGGAGCTCTGGGGCGGGGG